TACCCAGTAGTTATACGCTGAATTGCGATCTGGAAGATATTAGCGGCTGTGCCATCAAGAATAGCTCTGAATCATAGATACTGACCCAAGATGTAGATCCACAGATCACCAACCGTGACAACCCGTCGCTGCTCTGAAGTCTTCCACTTCAGAACCAAGCTACCTTTGAAGTATCTGAAATGGATATTGTATCCCTCTTGAAATGTCGGGTGTTCAAGTGTGTCCATGATAGCCATCTCGTGCCATTCGTCGGGTCCCCCATGCACCATTAGAATAGTACTGTTCTCGAACTTTTGCCAAGTGAAGATTTCGGCAGTACAGTAAAGCAAGGTCCAGTCGCCAACAGGGTAATCGGCCACGTGAACTTTCGAATCCCGCGGACCAAGCCGGAGCTTGTTACCAATAAACCCAGGGCGAACCGGCCCCCTTGAGGTCTGCAATATCGGGAAGTAGTATGACGTGTCCAGGCTGGAGTAATTTCTGTGGCGAACCACGAAGTACGATGGCCCATCATGTTGACGCAGCCACGTCATGAGTATCCTTGGGTTGCCACTGAGTGCCCACGAAGTCCTATTCACTGGCTTTGCTGTCAGGTACGATGGCGAGACCTTCAAGAATTGTGCTTCGAGCTTCAACTCCGAATACTTCTCCCTAGTGACGCTTCTATCCTCCTTGATGGCGGCGCCATAGTCGTATGAAGTATAACCTCCTGGGTGGCCCAAGTTGCCCCAATTCGTTCCACCAAAGAGCATGTATACGTTAAAGATGGACACACCCGCCGCCAGGTTGTTCTTGTAGAATACCCGCTCAAATTCGTGGTTGGTGAGTGCGGCGCAGTCCTCGAAGCCATGACCACCCCACGGATCGAAAGAACCTCCCTGAAACTCCAGGATTGAATTCGGAGTGCTAGGGCTTTGTGAGAGATGCAGTCGACGATAGTTGGTTGGAAGCTTATTAGCCGGCCATACGTCTGGATTACCACAGTCGAACCCTAAAGGGTATCTGTCATAGCCGTAAATATCAGCAGCGCCCACACCCGTGTCAGGTGCGTTGTGGCCTTCAGGTCTGGCGTCGTTGCTAATCATGGGAATCACGATACCGGCCTTCCGGGCCTGGTCAATGACATACTGAAAGTATTCCCCGTCGGGAGACCGCCCCTTTTCGAAGTTGGTGTACTCATTCTCCGGCTGGAAAAGGATGACCGGTCCTCCGTTCGTGATTTGGTTATCAGCGATGATTGCGCAAATTGTTTCCATGTAATTGTCCGTGGCAGAGAGAAACTCAGGATCACTCGTCCGCAGGCGAGCGCGCAGCCTTGATAACCACCCGGGGAATCCGCCGCCAGAGACCTCGGCGTTGATGTATGGTCCAGGCCGCGCGATGAGAAAGACGCCAGCCTCCGTCGCAGCATCGAAGAATGGCTGAAGATCGAATATGCCGTCTGTGACGATGTTTCCCTCCTTCCCCTCCAGGAGTGCCCAATCAACGTAGAAAGAAACGGTGTTGAGGCCGAGAGCCCTGACTTTCTGGAACACATCCAGGTACAGACCTGGAACGGGTATGCGAAACGGATGTATCTCTCCAGAAAATATCATCGCCCGCTCTCCATTGACAAAGAGCGACTGCTCGTCCCAGCTGACGACATCCTGATACTGTCTCTTATCGATGACATGAAGGCGACCTGAAATGCCGTCGATGAACAGCCCAATGGCCAGAAAGGCGAAGGAAAGTATTGACAGCCACATTCGTGATTGCCGTCGCGGGGTCTTCTTGGGGGGGTAAAAGAGCGTCGAGCCTTTGCATTGGCCGTTCCAAGAACGAGGAGAGTGGGCAGCCTTCGGACGCCATATATGCCGTCGGCCTCACTTTGTTGGGCGAGGGCCCTTGAGCTGATCGATACCGAAAAGAGCGACGTTGTATATAATGGAGCTGTTCATCCAGAATTCAAAAGCAGCGATAGTTTGCCGTCTGCGTTTACTCCAAGTTATGCAAAAAAGAAACGGCGTCTGCGCCTATCCAGTGGCGGTGGCATCCTTCCATGCATGCGACTTACTAACTACCTGCTCGCGAACTGCATATGAGAAGCAGCTCCCTCTCCCCCATGACACCTTCCAGAAGGCTCACTTCAAAGGATTTCCGCAAGAACAGGTGTCGTTAACTTCGCATACGAAACGATCGTCCGATGCCCGTGGGACATGCGAACTTTCCGCACAGTCCAATCCTGCAGGTCGCCCTCCTAATCAGTTGTAAGCTAGACAGAACAAGCTTTTTTGCAGCTTCACCGGCTAAGCCTGCGGGAAACCGTGCGGAGATCTGTTGGTGCTAATGTAGCGAATGCAACTATTTGACGTACATACTTCCGGCAGGGCGAAGACGTCGACGGAAAGCGGATCCGACAATGCAATGCGACCAAGATGCATTAAACGGTCACATGGAGGCTAGCACTTACGCGAACTTCCCGGCCGACTACTACGAAACGTCGTGTTGCTTGCATGTCCGAGGCAAGACCACCAGTTGGTGCAAGTGCCGAGGATCACAAGGCATCCCTACTGGTCGTTTGGTTGCATTGAAACCTCGTATATGGTTCGGTGATGGGTTACGCTGCGTGAACAGCCGCTGCTATAAGCTACCTCATAGGGAAACTCGCGGGCTGTCCAGATGTATGACTGCATTCAGACATGAACCCAGTCGGAGCCATCGGTCGCGGGGTGAGGCGTGACTCTTGGGGGTTCTTCGACAAAGCCGACGGGATGTCCGTCCTGCTTCCATACTCTGCCGTCCTTCATCACAAAATCGACCTTGCGCAGAGCCCCGGCATCTTCTCTGGGGTCTGCAGCCAAGGCGATGATGTCTGCCTTGTAGCCTTCGGCAATGGCTCCGAACAGGAAGCCGCTCTTCTCCTTGCCACAGCTTTCCCAGCCTCCGACCATGCATGCTTCCAAGACATCCACGACAGGCAGTCCGGCTGTTATCATGAGCTCCATTTCCAGAGCACCTTCTCCGTGAGGGATCGGACCACCAGTGTCTCCGCCGACAGCGAGACGTACTCCTAGATCATATGCCTTCTTGACTCTCCAGAGGCAATCTTCAAAGTACGGCCCATCCGCAGACTTCTTTATCACCGAAAGAGTCGGCACATATATGGTACCCTGACGACGCATCTCACGGAGAACCTGGTCGTTCCCTTCGTTGCAGTGTTCAATCGAATCGACCCCCGCCTTGATGGCCATCAGAGCGCTCTTCGTCACAGTCGTGTGCGCAGCCACCGGCAAATCAGCCAGCCTGGCCTCCTCCACAATGGCGTCCATCTCCTCCTGGCTGAACATCGTCACCGCCGGGTTGAGGTCCGTCATGACAAACGGGGGCGCGTCTCGTGGTGGGACCAGCGGCGGCGGGAAGCGCATGATCTTCCGCCGGTAGTCGGCGTAGAACTTGATCACGTCGGCGCCGTCCCCCACACGCCGCCGGACCGCCCGCCTTACCTCCGCCACGCCGTCGCACACGTCCGCGATGCGCGGCATCGTCGCCATCACGTTCTCGTGGCGGATCTCGTAGGACCCGGTGCTCGCGAGGCACTCCGTGGCGACGAACAGCCGCGGGCCCGGCACCAGGCCGCGGTTGACGCAGTCGCGGAGGTTCGCGTCGAACGAACGCATGCCCTCCGTCCCCAGGTCGCGGTAGGTGGTGAACCCGGACAGGAGCGCGAGGCGGAGGTGGTTGGTGGCGCGAACCACTCGTTCGACAATGCTCTCGTCGCGTTCTTGGACGGTTGAGGAGGCTTCGCTGAGTGAGTGTCAGATGTTGAGGCCCAATTTCTGCGGATGACTTTCATTGTTTGCTCACTCGTAGGGATGCAAGAAGACGTGCGCGTGGGCGTCGACAAATCCTGGCATGACGACCTTTCCGCGAAGGTCGATGTCGCCCGCCCTTACACTGATTTCCTCGTCATCTTTCCTCTTGTAAATATCGGCGATGATACCCTGGGCCTTGTCGACGACGATTGAGGTGCCTTTGACGAACGACTTGGTCTTGGAATCAAAGAGCAACGACGTGTGCACCGTGAAAGTGGAGGACTCCGAACTCATGATAATCCTGCGTGGGGGAATTGTGTTTGGGCGGATCTGTAAAGCCAATATGTTGGAACTGGTGTGTCTTGGCTGTAGGGAATAATCGGTGGTATCGGGCGATTTGGAGACTTTTTGTTACTGACGCACCTATGAAGTGTTTACCTTATCTACCTATGAAACCGTGTACAGTCGCTCGGGTGGCTGGCATTGGACGACCAGGAGAATGCATTTTAGGCAGGTCGCTGGCGGTAAGAGACATGCAGTACACAAGCGAAGGGACTTTGGTTACGGCAAACGTTCTAAAACAGCAAAGGTATCTTAAAAGGGAAAACAATTCAAACGTACGGTCTGTCGATCTCTACCAGAATCACAATACACAGGAGCATCAGCTCCGTTGTAAGGGAGATATCAAAAGAAGATATCCTGAGCGAAGTCGGCTTGCGTACTCAGCACCCGGCAGCCTGGAGAAACTTTGAAGCTTCAAGATGGCCGACGAAGCAAAATTTTCAATCCCCATCGAGTCGCTTTAATGTCCCAATGCCGGTCTTCACTATTGATCTTGCTTTAAGAAGAACAAGACGAGCTCTTGCGATATACGAATCCGAGCCATGCGAATGCGAGCCGGCTCAAAAGTGGGTACAAATTAATAGAATACTGTTCGAACCAGCAACTTCAACTATTCATGTCCTGATTGCGTGATCGCATAGATGACTACGTTACTTCTAGCCAGAGTTCTCAACGAGGGCGGAATAAAAATTGAGCCCAAATATGCAAATCCCGTGCCCGAAATCCGTTCTAGCCTTCAATCCCATACCAGGGGTGTAACTGTCTTGGGCATCACGATGCCAAAGATATAGTCTCTCGGAGGAGGTGACGTCCAGCATCTGTTCAGACAACGGAAAAGATACTTCGTGCTCCTAGTAGCCTCCAAAAATGCGTCTGATCACAATCTCTGTCCTGAGCTCTATACTTGGGATCCAAGTTGTTTCCGGCTCCCCTGATCTTCCCATCGTCGATCTTGGATACCAGCTTCAACATGCGTCCTTCTACAACGTAAGTCAAGATGCTCACAGGAGCCATTCGAAAGTAAAGCGAGCGTCTGACTTGGAGGAACGTCGCCGGCTAACAGCAAACCGGAGGCTTCTATAACTTTTCAAACATCTGGTACGCCGCACTACCGGTCGACAACCTCCGCTTCCGCGCGCCGGAATCACCGGCCACGAACCGTACCGTAGTCGAAACCAGCGCATTGGGACGCGTGTGTCCCCAGAGTTCGCTGGTATGGTTATCGGAAGCTATCGCTTTGGTGACAAACGTTACCTAAGGATTCGCGTTCAACTCGTCTGCTTTTCGAGAGCAGCAGTCTGCGAACGCCTCGATGACGCCCATCTGTCAACTAGACCTAATAACAAATGAGGACTGCCTAGTCCTCGATTTCGTGACCCTAAATTCTGCCTTTGAATAATATCGGTCTACTAATATCTCTGGTACTTGTCTGGTTCTATGGTGGCGGATATACGACTGGCAGTACAGACTAATTTGGAGGTCCTGCTGGTCTCCTGGCACAGGCGACAGCCTTTGAACCCGATGGTCTGGTCTTCGTTGCGATAAAATACCGCCTGGGAGCTTTGGCTGGTCAGCCGGGCCCACGATACAATCAGACGGCGCTGCTAATGTTGGGCTGCTTGATTAAAGGCTTGCTTTGGATTGGGTATAGAAACACGTTGCTAAGTTTGGAGGCGATTTAAAGAAGGTTACCGTCATGGGCGAGTCTGCAGGCGGCGGCTCTCTGATGCATCACATCACGGTAAAGTCGCCAAGAACCTTGCACAAGTGAGGCCTTGCCGGAAACCACAGCTGATACCGTCCCTCTTAGGCGTACGGGGGCAGCAAAGGGACAGCCCCCCCCCCCCCCCCCATTTCGCAGGGCCGTCATACAATCGCCCGCTTTCTTCCCCCACGTGGATGCGAGTCAACAAGAGAAGAGTCTCCAGACGTTTCTCGCGTTGCTGAACGTCTCAACGCTTGCCGAAGCCCGGAAGCTGCCATCGTCAGCACTCATGACTGCCAACAGTCAACAAGTCGCTCAACCGCCGTATGGCCAGTTCAATTACAACCCCGTCATCGACCATGGCTACGTGCCTTCTCACCAGGCAACTCTCTTCGCCCGTGGTCAATTCGATCGAGATGTTGATGTGATGTTCAGCCACAACGCCAACGAAGGATTAGTCTTCACTGACCCGAGTGTCACCGACGGCTTCGTTTTTCGAGGACTCATCAGTAAGCTCTTCCCAAACTTCAATGCGTCGTTGGTCGAGCACATCGCCGAGGTTGTTTATCCTCCTGTATTTGATGGCACTCAACCGTACGTCGACGATTTGGGTCGCGGTACTCTCTTGATGGCCGAGACTCGTATCGTTTGTAACACCCTTTTCCCACGCCGAGCCTTCGGGAGCGCGAGCTTAGCTTATATCTTTGCTGTCCCGTCGTCCTTGCATGGAGACGACCTCAAGTACACCTTCTATAACGGTGCTTATGGAGCACAGATGGACAGCCGTTCTCTCAACTTGACGATCGCACAGGTCTTGCAGGACTATATAGCGTCGTATGCCATAAGCGGGAAGCCGGCAACAGACGTCTCCGGAGTTGGCGTCTTTCCAAAAGTAGGAAGCAAGTCCACGGCATGGGCTCTGGACGTGGCTGGTGTGCAAAGCGCCGTCGACGGTGCTGTTAACGATATATGCTCATGGTGGCAGGCCAATTGGGAGACCTCTCCCGACACTGCGTAGACCCAATATTAAGCTTAAAACCTCTCATCGTAATCAAGTTTATTTTGGCTTGAGTTTCGCAGCCAGCTGATTTCAGGTGCGCTCTCGAGGATATTTGGAACCCAAAGCCCACTGACCCGGGATGGAAGTTTTAACATTGGCAATCGTGCGGTGGCTAGGCGGGTGCCCGGTGCAGATGTCCGGGCGTCGGAAGCCAGCGGCTCCTCCGGTTGCACAGCTGCAGGCGGTCCCTGTTGAGCGGATTACGTCCCACCAAGTCTATGGAGAGCCATTGAGTATGTATTTCCGGGATGTGGGAAGAGGAGGAACCCATGACAAAGACAAGTTTTAGGCGGAGATATTCTGCTCCCCAACATAGGATGCCCTGATGGCAAAGCTGGGCGAAACAATGTTTTCTTGACACAAGGTTTTTGCTGCTTGGAAAAGTCGGTGTCGAGAGGTTCATCTGGAATTCGGTGCCCGCTCGAGCAATGACGCACGGAAAGGCGTTTGGTGAGCCGAGGAACATGGCAGATCAGGCCAAGCCGACATCCGAGGGCCTCCCGCCACAAGTGGCACTGGTGCATTGCTCGACTCGATGAGCTGCCCGACGATAGCATCATGGTGCAGGCTTCAATAGCATCGCTGAAGCATAAAAAACATGGCGAGCATGGAAGTGACGTCGGCCGCTGCTGAAGGCGAATGCTTGGGTGCCCGTTGAGGCGATGCTCGACACTGGAGATGGATGTGCATGACATAGTGACATGTGGTTGTGTTTCTTGGTCGGTTCTCAGGACCCTGATCCGCTGCCAATATAACCCGTCACGTATTGCCTAGGCTGTATCGCCCGTGTCGCCGTTCTCTCCAGCGAAAAGGGAGGCGGTAGATGGCGAGCGACCGAGGATTGCCGAGTTCTGGAAGAAGTGTGGAATCCGGATTTCTCGTCGGGGCGGGCAGGAATGACGAATGCAAGAGGGCCCCCCGGGACGGTGGAGATGTCTTAGAAGACCCTGAAGGGAATGGTGCCGGGTTCTGCTGGGCCAGGTGTGGAGGTGAGGACGGGGCCAAGAGTGACGGGTCGGTGCTGAAAATAGAGACAGAGATCGGCCCAGAGCAGGCATGTTGCATTGGCATTGCGCTGGCCGGCCGGGGTCCAGTGGTCCGTTGTGTTTGCTGACGCTGACGGGCCATAGATGGGCTTCGGGTTGGTGTTTACGCCGTCACACGGTATTGGTAATGCTCTGCTCGGGTTGCTTGGTGGTGATGGATGGACTGCTGCGCATGCAATGCTTGACTCTCGACGTGGATGGCATGACAGACAGAGTTTGCACCGGTCTGCGGGCGAATCGCGAAGCGGGACGAGGAAGATCGCGATTCCCTTCCCTTTTCGGTCGCAAGGCGACGAAGATGCAAGACAGAAGCAAAAGCTTGGGCGGTTAGCGCATCGCCATCGCCATCGCCATGGCCATGCATCGCCGACGCCTTTGCTGCACTGGTTTCCCTGGCTTCTTACCCTGTTGGGTGCAGGTGCTGCTACCGCAACGGCGACCGACTGGGAGTCTTGTCAACGGCGCCGGCAGACGAGTAGGTAAGTAACAAAATAGTGTATAGGTGTAGAGCGACAGCCGGGCCGACTGATGATGATGGTGTTATTTTTGGTTCCATTGTCTGGTGATGAAAGAACTGGCGCGATCTAACGTCGGCTTGTTGCATCTCGTGCCTGCAGGAAGAGAACGATGCGATGCCAGCGCCAACTGACACTGCCGTTGAAGGAGGAATGTGCCGCAGCGGCAGGAGCACCAGCAGCAGCAGCAATGCAAGTCTGCTGTGCAGGCGATGCAGGCGAGGAGCAGCCTGGAACCGCTACTCTGGCGATCCAGAAGGCCTAGAAGGGGCGTTTACCAACCACCTGGCCGCTAAATGTCGCTGACAGTTGGGCTCTTTGCTAACGGTTTCCGCGGGGCTGCCCTCAGAGTCTCGGCCACACTTTCGGTGGGAACAGCAGCCCTGCGAGGGTGGAAAACAGTGCGTGCCAGGAGCCAGGAGTTGCCGACACTCGACTGAGGTGTGGTGTTGACTGCCCAAGTGGGTGGGCAGAGACACTGTCCAGGTATGGACAGCCACGGGTGCACCACCACCAAACCACAAACCACGCACCGGATGCACTGTGGGTGTCAAAGTGGAGCCACAAATTGTCCTGCGCTGAATGGCTGCAGCTTCGATCCTGGTGTGTGCCACCGCGCAGTGACGGGCCAAGGGTTCCACACTGCAACCAATGAGCAACCGTCATTCCGCAGGAAACCGACAAATCTGAGATGATTGCGGCCTGGTTTGTCAGGCTTCTCATCACCTTCGCGGGTGAGGCGGTACGTATTGTCGCTTTTTGGCCGCCACCACGTTGTCCCTTGCACCATCCCGGCGCCCTCCCCCCGCCTCTCGTCCTCTCCCTGTGCAACGTAGTGGGTGTCTTTGGGCCATGTTCCATGGGTTTCCCTTTGATTGACGGCCCAGAGAGACTCCAGACTGCCCGGTGACTGGCAGAGAGACGTCCTCCAAGCCACCACACGGACAGTGCGACGGAGAGAAAAGACCCTCCCCGTCTCCCCCGGCCATCCCTGTTCTGTTCTGCCCTCCACTGCTTGGCACCGGCACCTGCACCAGCTCCTGCGCCTGCTCCTGACCACAGACCAGTCCTAGGCCACAGACCACCCTCTTCTTCGTTGAATACGAGTCTTGTTTTTCTGCTCTTCCCGCTCGTTCCCACACGTCCCTTCTTAACCCTCACCATTCGATAAAAATCCATTCACTCGCTACTTTTCCTATTGCGTCCCCTCTTGGCCTTTTCCTCTCGTTTTCCTTGAATTACCGTCGACATTAACTTCACCCAACGATCCATTATTACCCTTAAACTCTCGGTCGCTTCCGCCAAGGTTCTCGAGTCACTCGCCTACAACCCTACGAATTTTCCGCGAACCCGTCCGTGCCGCTCTCCTATTTTCGTACCCACCGGCTCAGGGCAAGAACTTTCCGAAATTCCAGTCGACTCATCTTTGCCACGAGTTGTCTCTAGTCCCAGCATAGTCGTGTTGGGCATTTAGGCAGTCGATCAACCACCACCCGGACCATTTAACGGACGTGACGGGACTTGGAAATCGGGCGAATATCTAACGGGATATAACCATCCCCGACACCGCGAACCTCATCATACCCTTTGAATCCTCACCGAAACTCACCTCAAAATGCAGCCTACTCTGGTTCTCCAGGTCCTCATGGCCGCCTCTGTGGCCCAGGCCTCGTGGTTCAACTTCCACAAGGAGGAAGCTCGCGATGGACTTCTGAGGAGACAGTCAGGAGGCACCTCTGCTGCCGCCGAGACCACAACTTCCGCCGCCGCCGCGACGACGACAACATCTGCTGCCGCAGTTACAACCACATCAGCCGCAGCTGCTACGACAACCACTCCTTCCGCCGCCAGAACCACGACCACTCCGGCCGCCACTCCCAGCGCGACCACTCCCGCTGCGACGACGACCACCCCGGCTGCCTCAGCTGAATCCACGACTTTGAGGACCAGCACTACATCTGCTGCCGGAAACTCGGATACCGCGAGTGGCGAGGCTGCTTCCTCTACTCCCACTACCACCGCTCAGCCTATTACCTCCACCATCAGGACCGTCATCACGACGACCAACTCTGCTGGCGTTGCCACTTCCTTCACTTCCGAGTCGACCGTCACCAGCACACCTGGACTTAACGAGTCCAACTCTGGCTCCTCTTCTTCCGGCATGTCAACACAAACCCGCAACACCGTTATTGGTGTCGTTGTTGGTGTCGGTGGTGCTATCGTTCTCGGCGCTCTGGGTTTCGTTGCCTGGAGAATCTGGGGCAAGAAGAAGCAGGCGGAGGAGAACGATGGCCTGATGGAATACAACAACCAGTACGGCAACGAGGCCAAGGTCGAGGTCGGCAGCGCCCAGGGCTCCACCGGCCGCACGCCTTTCCAGTCGACCCTCGAAAGCTACCACGCACCAAGCCAGGTTAACGCGTCGTCCAACTTCTAAAGCGGCGTGCGTTAGTCGAACATTTGATGATTGTTGTTTCTTGCGGCAGAAAGCGTTGATTCCCCACGGTCCTTAGCCTACAAAAGGCACAAACCTTCGATGATTATTCTTACACCCCCATACGTTACGGCCGGCACAGCTTTTTTCTACTTTTAAGACCGGCTACACGGAGTTTCGGACCGAATCAACTATTGTTACCACGGCAGGCATGGTTGCATATCGCAGAGTCTAAGGACTAATGGATAGACTTATGTAAATAGAGCAGAGAGTCCTCCCCCTTCTTATTGTCGCAGATGGGCTTGGGATGATCATTGTCAAATCGTTGCCGACTGGGTTTCAGTCGAGTCGCATATCAAGACATGCAATCACCCTAGCAGAAAAATTGGACAAAAACACATTGACGGCAAGTCTGATGAACAAAATCTACTGGGTTCACAGGCTTGGATGTACGTTCAGATACAACTTTAATACTAGGACCGCCAACACTATGGGATCAAAGCACTCTTCTATCGTGAATTACGCAAGTGACGTGCATCCAAATGAAATGACAGTGACAAAACCTCAACTCAACTTGCGGAGGGGCAATAAGAGAGAGTTCACCCGATCCCTTACCCAAACTCTATTCCCTCCGTCATCCAACATTCATCCCCAGTATTGATCGTCCGTCACTCCAACCTGCCATCTGATGAACCGTGGCCGCGGCAGGATCGTCCATCCGGGCAGCCATCCCGTCTGGGCAAAGAGCGTGCAGCGCGAGCGCACCCAACATCACGTGGACGGGCCCGACCGTCATAATATTATTCCAGTCTCAGTGGTGTTTCGGGTTGCGGTGGTGGTGTTGCATCCCAGCTTTTTGTGGGCGCTTGGGATCTCGACGTTTCAGATTTCATGCGGTGCTTCTTCGTCTTCTTCTCACCCGCCCGCCCTGCTTGTGTGTCTGTGTCCCGCTCGCTTCCCTTC